CAATAATCCTTTGTGCTTTATATGACTTCTGGTTTTGATGTTGTTTAGTAACCAACATGCAGCCTGGCATTTTACATTGTACTATTTGTTAATTATTTGCCACCAAGCAGCAGCAGGTTGTTGTAATTCCCAGAATAAGAGCCCACTTCTACCTAACTGAGCTTTTATTGCATCATAACCAAACCTTTACTGAATGCGACTGAAATGGAGTTTAGACTTGCTAAAACCTTCAGTGACTGTCTGGGTGTGACACTATCTATTGTAGTTTATTTAACATTCACTTCCTGAGTTCACAAAATAGCATCCATGTTAAATAAACTACAAGGGACTTTTATCTCTAGATACTTTAACATTGTTTATTGTTTTTATAACTACCAGGTTTAGACAAAATTAGGCAGAAAAGAAGAAAATCTTGTCTCCATCCATCTGTAGAAGATAATTTACTATTAGAAAAATCCGTAACATCACTTATGTGGCTTTTCAACAGTTAAACATTTCTAACAATATAAAACAGAACATATACTTTCATGATTTAAAGCACTTTAAACTGCTGTGTTACTGAAATGTGCTATACAAATAAATTGATTTTAGTATAAAACACAGCTATAAAGTTTATTTTCTGAACCTTGAACAGTTTCATAAAAACCATTAATGTTTGATCCAATCAAGAAGCTTTTATGGTCTGAAATGATCTGAATAAAATTGAGCAACTGAGATTCCTTGACCTTTATCTGCATCCAAAAAATTAAAACTGATACAGATGCTAAGATGTAATTAAATATGTTTAATGGAGAAAATAAAATCTGGATTCAAACTTTACAATAAAGTTTCTTCTCTTAAAAAACAACCAGACATGAAATCAGCTCAAGTCCACGATGATATGAAATCTGTTCTCATGCATGTCAGGACTCAACAAAATGAGTTCAAACATGAAAGGATCAAAGAACTGCTTTCATTTGTCATTTTACTAAATTTAATCAAATCTGCTGCAGAAACTGTCAGCAGGTTAAATTCCCATGAAACCGAGATTTATTGTCCAGGTTCACTGATTGTTTTTAGTTAAACCTCACATAAAATGAGGATGTTCAGAGTTTGTAGAGCTAGAAAACAACATGGTGGAGGTCAGGGGTGTTCACAGTCGGTCCTCGCCATCCTGCATGTTTTAGTTTTAGTTTTCTCCCTGGTGGTAGTAACAACCTTTTCAGCATGTTACTATGTCAATGTTCATAGGCCTCTAATGAGCCATCATTTGATCCAGGTGCGTTAAACCAGGGAGAGAACTAAAACATGCAGGATGCCAGATCCTCCAGGACCCACTTTGGGGACCACTGAGGTTTTGAGTTAGTTTTGGCTTGCAGTTTGGACCAATTCAAACTGTCAGCCACTAGGTGGTGCTGTGCTCCTCCTACTCATGTTCATGTTCATCTCGAACCTGACAGGAACTTTAATGTTGTCAAAAGTCATGTTAAGGTCACTGTTTGGACTCAGCCATTTTGGGGAGCATCCAAAATGGTTCATCTAGACCAGAGATCTGCAACCTGTGGCTCTTAATAACTTTAGCCAAACATGACAAAGAACTGAACATTGTTTTAAAATATAACAGTAATAAATAAATGCTAGTTTTAGCAGTTTTTCACAAAAGTATTAAGAATATTTTGTATGATATTTTTTCTCTAAAGCATTTTTATGTAATTTATAATGGAGTGGACATTATGAAAAAATTAAGTGTTAACTTTGACATCACAAAAACAAAAAGGTACTTTGCTTCATTCATAAATTCAACATAAGCAGGTTTTAATCTTGGTTTTTACAGCATAAATTATTTATTGCTCTAAAGGTGTAAAGGAGTAAATTTAATAAATTTTCAAATTAACATAAATCAGCCTTTGGCAGATTTGTGAATGAAGAGTTAAAAGATCATAGGTAAATTTTAGTGAACATTAAAAGATTTGATTATAAAATATTGTTTTAGACAAAACAATGGTTTATATGAACATGTTTCTTTCTGTTTAGACTAGACTTGGAATAAAATGGTTTGTGAATATCTGTCCTTGAAAGTTGTTCTTATGATGAAAGGTTTTCCAACTGAAAGACTTACAGTAGGAATTAAAGTTTTTCTTAAATTATGAACCTAAAACACTAAACAGCATTTGGTGTGGAAAAAAGTCTAAAAAACCCAAAACTGAAGTCTAGACAAAAATCACAAGTTATTCAGTTTGTATTTAGTTTATTTATTGGATTCAAACAGACAGACTGTGTGGAATTGAACATGAACAATCTTCATAAATGTCTTAATACACATCTGATATTTCTGTCTACAGGTTATGTTGCAAAAAATGCACACAAAAAATATTTAAAGTCACAGAATTATCTTGGTGGACAGATACTAAACTATAACTTAATGAACAAGTGAATACTAAAATGAGGCATTAACACACACATAAACTGAAGTTTAAAAAAAACACAAGTCAAAGGAAATAAAAACTAAAGACTAAAATAAAAACAAAATTATCACCTATATTCATAGTCAAACACATTTACAAACAACAGATAGAATGAAATTAAACATGAGTGAAGAGACCTGACAGCAAATAACTCAAAATCTAAGAGAATCTTATTTAAGTTTACAGAACTCTGCAGAACCTCCAGTATTACAAACCCAAACTCCAGCGTGAAGCGGCTCAGTGAATCTGGTCTGGACTCTGTGGCTCAGAGTCATGGATTCAGAGACGCTGTAGAAGGACAGAAGACCTGCTCTGTGGTCCAGGTACACTCCGACTCTGGAGGAACGAGGAGCTGAGATGGAGGTCCAGATGTTGTTGTGAAGAAAATTAGATTCGTAACGATATATGTCTTTGTAATGATTTACTGCCCAGGATTTGTCATTATATCCAAATCTACATTCATTCCCATCTCCTGCTCTGCTGATATTCTTGTATGTGACCGCTATATAAACCCGTTTCCCGCTCCACTCCACCTCCCAGTAACACCGTCCAGTCAGACTCTCTCTGCTCAGAACCTGACACCAATCAGTGAATCTGTCTGGATGATTTGGATAAATCTGATGTTGATCCATCCTCGTCACCTTCCTGTTTCCCTCTGACAGAACCAGCATTGTGTGAGCCGTGTTTGGATCCAGTGTGATTTTACATGAATATTTTAAGAATCCAGGTCGTGTTGTTGGTTCTGGTCCTGGTTCTGGTTCTGATGGTGAAACATCCACCTCAGTGACCATCAGTGAGATGTTTGTCCATGAGTCTCTCA